TAAATCAATAATTATTATAATTAGTTTCATATTTCCTATTTATTTAATAATTTTTCTTTTGGATTTTTTTTGTTTTTAAAATTATACATATTGTACATTAGGGGTGTAACAGTACACAAAAATCACGGTTCAGTATGTACCTCGGTTTTGAAGTCACGGTTCTGTACATTTTCGGTATAGCGAGAGGTAAAAGAAACAAAATATAAATTGCTTCTTTTTTTCTTTACTAAGCTGTGGTTTGCTGAACAAAGTATGATTTTCTTAAATAATATTTTCAGTCAATACTGCTGCAAAGTACTAATAAAAGACTAAAATTTACTTAAAAGTACATAAAAATAAATATTCTCTCAAATACATAAAAATAAAGTAAACATCCATTAAGGTGAACATTTTGAAAATGATCTATACTGATGGCCTACCCAAATTATTCACATTAGCAGCTTTCAGCTACATATTAGGACTGTGTAACGGTCCATATGCGAACCGAACCAAAAGACCCGTACTGAAAATGTCCGGTAATAATACGTGTACCGTTACACTCCTATTGTACATACAATGTATATAAATATGTGCATTTTTATATTTCTTTCATATATTTCTATATGACTATGTACTTATTATTACCTATCAATGTTTTATTAATGCTACTGATATTCACATCAGTGCTTTGAATCAGCTTCCTGTGATTTCTTGTAATATTAGATGATCATTTATATATTCATATATCTAATCTGAGATCTGGCGACATTAAGGTTGATTAGTTTATCTTTAACTATCACTAAGAATTCTTTCTTTGTCAAGGTGAGGAGAAGGAAAATATTCCACGTAGCTACTTGTCATGTTCCGCTGGTGCCAGTCAGGAATTATGTTCACGTAAGTTCAGTTTGAATTTTTGTTTTTCTTTTTATTTAAAAGAAAACTGCTTCAAAGCGAATCGCTGAGCTCTGTCATCCACACATATGTTCACTGTGTTCCGTCATCCACACATATGTTCACTGTGTTCC